CGCACACACACACACACACACACACACACACACACACACACACACACACACACACACACACGTGTGATGGCCTAAGTCCCTACAAATACAGAACGAGGGGAGCAAGCTAACTGTCTCAGTTTGCTGGCACCAGGAGTGCCGCAGGTGGTCAGTGGGGATTGAGGCCACGACCTCCTGAATACCACTTGCGTGTCTAACCAACTGGGCTAGGCCACTTGCTACTGGGAAACATGCTCAGTCATTGCATCAGCCCGCGGTGGGCCCACCCTACTCCATGACCACTGCCAATTAGCGCCTGGGCAACATGCGTCCCCCTGATTGTGAATTTGTGAGAGGGAGCTATGCTTGCAGGCTATGAATCACCCCCCGGTCATTGGGGCCCATTTTGGGGCCGGCGGCAAGACCCCGACAGTGGCCATGGTGGAGAGAGAATCCATGCATGACACAACCAAGTGAGTAAACACTCAAGATGATGAGAGCAAGTGAGAGCGAGAGAGAGAGAGAGAGAGAGAGAGAGAGAGAGAGAGAGAGAGAGAGAGAGAGAGAGAGAGAGAGAGAGAGAGAGAGAGCGGCCATGGTCGCGCCCCTCGTGGGCGGTCGGGTTCCGGCCGCAATGTTTCGGGAATTTCTCCCGGCCGTAAAAATGAGCAAAACCAAATTAAAAAAGCAATGGGTTGTAGCCTTGTAGGGTTTTTCAAACCCTACAACTTCATATGTATATTTTTTGGAATTGGAATTTATTTTCGATTTGAAAAAAATGGAAAACAACAAAAAAAAACACATTCAATGGTTTAATCCCGGAAAAAAAATACAAGAAGGTTAATTTTTTTGTTATTGACACACTCAGATTGATTGATTGATTGGTTGATTGCTGGGGTGTCCCCCACCCCCTGCACACACACACACACACATTCTTTTTTTTTTCCAACTTTTTTGGTTTTTTGATTGATTGATTGCTTGATTGCTTGATTGGTTGGTTGTGGGGGGGTTGCCCATCCCCCGCATGCACACACACACGCACAGTGTCACACACATACACACACACACGCGCGCGCGCGCGCGCACACACACACACACACACACACACACACACACACACACACACACACACACACACACACGCGGGCGTTCAAAGTTGCCTTTTTTTTTTACTTTTTTTTCCCGGCATTTGAATTAATTGATTGATTTATTGGTTGCAGGGGGGTCGCCCTTCCCCTGCGCGCACACACACAAACACACACACGTGCGCGCACGGACACACACATTTTTTCTTTTCTTTTTGTCTCAATCAATCAATCAATCAATCGATCACTCAATCACTCCATCACATAATTCGGCACACCAGTACGCTGTGCGGTGCGTGCCGGTGCGCAGTGCGTTGGTTTAGCAGTGCGCCCACTGTGCGCTGTGCGCGCGCTGCAACCTGTGCGCCCAGTGCGCCGAAAATAAATAAATAAAACATGGC